GGAGAGAGATTATTTCCAAGGGCCTTGAGTGACAGGACAAGAGGGAATGGCTTCACACTGCCAGAGGGCAGGGTCAGATGGGATATTGGGAAGAAACTCTTGGCTTTGAGGGTGGTGAGGCCCTGGCACAGGTTGCCCAGAAAAGCTGTGGCTCCCCCATCCCTGGGAGTGTCCAAGGCCAAGGTTGGAGAAACCCGGGATAGTGGAAGGTGTTCCTGCCCATGGCAGGGGTTAGAAGTGGATGGGCTTTAAGGTCCCTTCCCACCCAAACCATTCCAGGATTACCTGAAGCCCCACATGCTCTCCAATCTTCTGCGCTTCTGATTTAAGTTGAAAACACCCCCTGGGCAGGCCGGCTGTTCTGAGACACGGAGCTGCTCGGGGGCAACTTCACAACCGTATTCATTTCAGTTTGGGACGAGAGCTCCGCATCCCACCCAGCTCGGCCCCGTCCCTCCCGGTCCCGATCCTGGTGCCAGTGCCACACCTTCCCCCTCTCGCCAACAGGGGGCGCCGCCACCCCCCGCGCGCGCCGCCGCGAGCCCCCCACGTTCCCCCGCCGCGATTGGCCGGGCCGCGCGAGGCGCGCGGCGCGATTGGCCGCCCCGCCGCCGGCCCGGCCTATATAAGGGGAGCGCGGGGGGGGCGTGTCCGCAGTCCGCGGGCGCTGCGGGCGGGGGCTGAGCGGACCAAAATGGCGGCGACGCGGGCCGTGTGCGTGATGCGCGGAGAGGGGCCCGTGCAGGGCGTCATCCACTTCGAGCAGCAGGTGAGGGGCGGCGCGGGCACCGAGCCTCCCCCCGGGAGGCTGAGACACTGCCCGCGGCTCCATTCATCCCCCCGGGGGCCGGCCGGAGCTGCGGTTCCAAATGGCCGCGGCCCTTTGGAGCTGCGCCGTCACCTCTGGGAGGCGGGGGAGCGGCTGCGGGGTCATCTGCTCTTCCCGGTGAAAGCACGGGATCGTTCTGGAAGGCACGGCCAGATAACGGGCCCCGCTTGTGTTCGGTGATAAATAACGGGAAGGCTGCATCAGAGATGGATAAATAAATTCAGACGCTCTGTGCAAGGCGGTGCTGGGCTGGTGGAGGAGCCTGCAGGGCTTCCTGTCACCTTGGCTTGACACAGAGCCGTGTAATGCTAAAGTCCGTGTGGTGATGATAAATCCTTTCCTTTCAAGGGCGATGGACCGGTGAAAGTTACTGGAAAAATCACTGGATTGGCCGATGGGGAGCACGGCTTCCACGTCCATGAATTCGGGGACAACACGAACGGTAAGGTGCCCATCCACGGCTGGAGTGTGGGTGCTCAGCTTCAAAGAGCTTCCTGCAGTGTTGCAGCAGGACTTGGGTCTGGCGGCTGCAAATCTGTGTTAGGAAACGTGTGGCGTTTCCCAAGGAAGTGCTCCCTGTGTAATACTCTGAACGTGTTGAGGCTGGTGGTCAAGGTCTGCCATCCCAAGCAGGGTTGGATACCCCGGTGTTGAGAAATAAGAAAGCTCCCGGGTGAGCCCAGGGAGCTCTGGAACGAGCAGCTGTACTTAATTGGACTTCTGAGTCTGCAATGGGTGATTTACTCCCAGAGGATTAGCGGGACATGCAACAGGAGAGCAGCTGCTTCCTGATGGGTCCGTGGGAGCAGCAGGTTTGCCCTGACGGATCCCTGTGCTGTGTTCCAGGGTGCACCAGTGCCGGCCCTCACTTCAACCCGGAGCGCAAACAGCACGGGGCCCCGAGCGACGCCGAGAGGTGAGTGCAGGGCTGGGACAGGCCGTGGGAGAGCCCAGGGACGCCCTGGTAATCCTGCAGGATGTGTGAGGTCACGTCACCGGGGCTGTGCTCACTGTGCAGCAGTTTGTTTGACACGTGGGCTCCCTGAGTGTGGGGTAAAATGTCATCTTCGGGACGTGCCACTGGTTTTTGTCGTGGCTTGGGAGGAGGGGACAGCGAGGGCCTGTGCTCCTGCTGGGTATCTCTGTGCTTCAGTGGGATGGGAGACCTTGTTCCTCCCCTGGGAGCAGTTCCAGCAGTCCAGTTCCCCTTGGGAGCCCTTGGACACCTGAGGAGCTGGTGTGGCTGGGGCAGCACAGGAGCTGCAGAGGAGCAGAGCTGGGAGCAGGTTTAAACCTAAAGCCTGGCCTTGCACAGGGGGAGGGTCTGGGATAGCATTAGAAGCAGCTTGGCATCGGGACCAGCCCTGGAATGCTCAGGGTTGTGTCCATGAGTGCTCCCTGTGTGGCCGATGAATCCCACCTGGGCGATGGATCGCTGCCGGCCAGGCGGAGCTGGGAGCTGGATGTGGGCCAGCTCCTGCATGACACAGCATGAAATGGTGTGTCAGGGCCTGGCAGCCGCTGCTCGGGGCTAAAGGTTGGGACTGCACGGACCTTGAGGCTTTGGCAGGCTTGGTTTTGGCAAATCCTGCTCCTGCTGTGCCCTGCCTGCTCCCAGCAGGGCAACTGTGGGCAGCAGGATCCCTTAGGAGAGTGCAAGGACTTTTATCAGTTTCCAGTTGAAACAATTGGACTGAAGCTTCCTGGAAGCTTAAATCAAGCAAATTCCTAAAGGGAAAGCTGCCCTTGACCTGATTTGATAGGACTTGGTTAAAAATGTGGAGTTTGTGCTGTGTAAGAAGCTGGTGCTCAGCACTTGCCTGGCTGAGCTGTGTGGAATGTTTCAGGAATGTGTTGGTATTCCAGGTTCTGAGTCTAGCAGAACATGATCAGCTGTATTTTGAGTGAGTGTTTTGTTTGGGGCGGGTGTGCAGGACATAACAGCATCCTGGAATGCCCAGAAGTCCCGTGAAAACTCCCCTGCTCGAGGCACAGATCTCTAGGAAGCCCAGGCAGAGATGTAGCTGTGATAGAAGCTGTGTGGGAGAGCAGGATGCCAAGTGATGGGGCAATGCCAAACTGGAATCATCATCCCTACTTCTGCCTGGAACTGAGCACCTCCTGTGTCCCCTTTGACCTGTTTCCTGACAAACTGCTCTTCCTAATCCTGTTTAAACCTAAAGCCTGTGGAATAGCTGATCTGTGATGGGCATTAAGAGCTCTTAGGAACAGTGGCAGTGTTCCACCAAACCTGGTCTGTGCAGGATAGGTTAATCTGTGGAATTTGAGAGCCTGTGGGCAGAGGGTGATGCCACTGGCATGGAGGGGGGGGATTCTGGACACGTGTGGCCTGAGTGTAGTAACAACATCAAGTCCCAGCCTTCCCTTGGAAGAGCTTTCAATCCCAGCCCCTTTCCTGAGTCTGTGTGTGTGTTCTTGTGCAGGCACGTGGGAGACCTGGGCAATGTGACTGCAAAGGGAGGAGTGGCCGAGGTGGAGATCCAGGATTCCGTCATTTCCCTCAGTGGCCCTCACTGCATCATCGGCCGCACCATGGTGGTGAGTGCGGGGGGACTGGTGCTGCTCTGGGGGTTAATGAGATCCCAGTTTCCTGCTGGCCTTTCAGGGATGTCCCTCTCCCTTTAACTTTGCCCCTTCCAGCTGGGGGTGACTGAAGGAACTGGTCTGTGGAGGGAATTGGCACAAATGCTGTCACTGAAAGGTGTGGAAACGGGCACCTGAGGACACTGGAAGGAAAGTCCAGTTGGGAGTTTTTATCAGGGATACGGGTTTGACATTGTGCAGTTAGTGTGTGGTGTGAGACCCTGCTGGGAGCAGTGGATTGTGGGGATTGGGATCTGCAGTAACACAAATTCTCTTTTAGGTCCACGAGAAGCGGGATGACCTGGGCAGAGGGGGGGACAACGAGAGCAAGCTGACGGGGAACGCGGGGCCCCGCCTGGCCTGTGGGGTGATTGGGATCGCCAAGAGCTAAGTGTGGCACCTGCAGTGCTGCTCCATTGCTGCTCTTGCCCTTCCTCGTGCCAGCCCAAGATTTGTCACTAATCTCCTGCTCCTCTGCATCCCAAGCAGCGCTTAAACCGCTGAGACTGACGGCGTTTTGTATGATGTACGTGGCAATTAAAGTGTCCCTCATGGAACAGCTCTGTGGTCTCTGCTCACACACCTGCACCATTCCCTGTCGCATCCCTCACTGGAGCAAATCCCTGCTGTGTGCCAGGGAGGAGGGGGGCAGCATTCACATCCCAGACCCTGGCAAAGAGCAGCAGCCCTGGGGGTGTCAGAGCTGCCTCCTGGTGAAGGTGCAGCATTTGTAGATCTCCAGCCTGTGTAATAAATGTTCTGGGCAGATACACCTGGGTCTGGCTGTCTGTAAACAGGGAACACCCCCAAACCTGCACCTGCTGGGAAAAGAAAGGGGGCCTGGGCTCCAGCAGGTGGGTGGTTACAGTGCATCCAGCAAGTTGCTTCCAGGTGGAATCCCAGGACCAGCCAGGAGTAACCACTGTGTGCCAGTGCCAGCTTCCATCACGTTTCTGGGTGTCCCTCTGAAACACTTCAGAGTCTCTCTTAACAGAGGAAATGAATCATTTTAATGAGGACTTGTATCAGTGTGCCTTTATCTTGTACATAAGGATGTTGATGGAAGTAGCAGGTTGCAGTTCTAGATAACCCCATTCCACTGAGGAATGTTACAAAAGGAACGTGGGAGTAGAGCGGGAATACTGTAAAAATACTTTAAACTTACATTCCCTGCTGGTGCCAGACAATTGTGTGAGTCTTCACCTGCCTGTGCCTCTTCCAGAGGGTCACTGTGAGGTTATTCCACAGGCACTGCTGCAGAAGGCAGTAAGGAATTGCTCCACAGGTTTCCTAGGCTCTGCTTTCAGCTCCCTACTGAGGGAAAGGGAGAGAAGGTGAGGTGGGGTTTGTGTGAACAGAGCAGCCTCTGTCCCTTTCATTCTTGTCTCCAGCTCTTCAATGCAGTGAGACAAACCCTCCCTCCTTACAGAGCTGAGGCAGCTTTTTCCAAGGCTCAGACCTCAGTGTCTGGTGTTCTCTGGACACAGGAACATCCCACAGGCCCGGCAGGAAACAACCAGTGAGGACACGAGTTTTAACACATGGAAGTTGAGTTCACTGCAATGTGTAAACAGGTTCTTTCTCTCTTTATTCTGCTATTGCAAGAACATAAAAATAGATGTCCTCTCCCCCGTCCAGAGCTCCACACTGGCTCTCCCATCCCTCCCTCCCCCAGAGACAATTCCACAGGGCAGCTGAGAAAAAGGACTAAGGAAGCAGCTGCCCTTTCCTTGGGGAAAAACTCAGCTTTAAAGGTAAAACACACCTATAGAAAGGAAAAAAAATCCATTAAATATGCACAGGATTCAAACACGTTTCCTATGGTGCTTCTGGAGGGGCAGGACTTCCCAAACTGTCTGTGCCCAAGGGATCAGCCACTGGGAAACTGCCCTCGTCCAATGTGACACAACCATGGAAGTGCTATGGAGAGGAGGTGGCAGAACTCCAGGAACACCAGGAAACACCCAGCCCAGAGGCACAGCACCAGGGGGGGCACAACCTACCTCTGGCAGGGTAAGGAAGGGCCGGTGTTCCCACCGGAGCGGCCCCGATCCCAGAGGAAGCGGCAGAATCCTTGTCCCAGCTCCACTTCAAGAACCAGGTTGGCAATTTACAGCAGGTTGTGGTGCCTCTGAGGTCTCACTTTCCAGCAGCATCAGTGGCTGACAGGTAGAGAAGCCCAGCACACACCTTGGAACAGCAGAGCAGATGTGCCTGAAGGTGTCACTTCTTAAAAAAAGGCAAATCAAGGGCAGCAGGAACCACAGAACCAATTGAGAGGGAGGAAATAAAAAATAAAGCAAAGAATGGACTGCATTGCAAACAAACACTAAACAGTTAACTCTGCAATTAACATCTCAAAACTAACTTTTACCCAGGGTGGTCAAGTATCTCATTAAAATGCAGCAATCTAAAACTCCAGAGGACTGTTACAAATAAAAACTCGCTTCTGTGAATCGCTACACAAACAGGTGGATTTTCCTTTCACAAACAGAACCAAACCAGTCTAATTTAGACTCCAGTACAGCATTAACAGTTCCAACTTTAGGCTGTTGAATACTCCTTTTCCACTTCAGTGCAGCGTAGGAAGAATAGCACACGTTAAAAGTTTGTTACGAAAATAGAGTTTATTAAAAACACATCCCTATTGTTTTTGAGGAGCTTTCACCGTTACCTTTTTCTTAAATTAAAAACAAAATAGAAAGCACTTCTACTTCTGATTCGTAAACTTTTTAAAGTCAAAACTTTAAAAAAGTTACAGCAAAAACGGGTAATATTTAATCATCTCTTCAGTATTTATGTTATGCTGTGGCTATTTTTAAATAGGAGGGGAAGCAATCAAATTGCTGGCGGGGCCCCTGCGCTGGGCAGGGCCGGGGGCGGCAGCGGATTTACAGCACTGTACAACTAAAGCTCGACACTCCGACCCGGGCTCGGCAGGGCCCGGGCTCAGCGCGGAGCCTCCGCCACGGAGCCCGTGTCCTTGTCCGCCTGTTCCAGGGATGAGGTAGCCTCGGGTGCCGACTCTTCCGCAGGTTTCGCACCCGCAGGTTCGGACTCTCCCGCCGCGAGTTCTGAAACAATGTCTGCGTCGGCCGCTTTGCCGCCGTGGGACTCGTGGTTTTTGTCGCCCTCCGCCCTGTCTGTCACCTCCGGCTTTTCCTTGCCGCGGCCTTCTTCCTTGTCTCTGCGCGACTCCCGGTCTCTGGAATCCCTCTCCCTGTCTCGGTGGCCGCTGGAGCGCCTGTTCCTGTCCTCCGAGTCCCTGTGCCTGTCGCGCTCGGGGCTGCGCCGGCCCCAGTCGCGCCGCTCGCGGTTCCCCAGGCGCTCGTGCTCCCGGTCGTCCCCGCGGTTCCCGTAGCGCTCACGCTCGTTTTCTACCCGGTTCCCAAACGACCTCCTTCCGAACCTCTCCTGGTCTCTGTTGGGGGTGAACGTCTGCCTGTCGTTCCTGAACTGGCGCCCGTCCCTGTTCTCCTCGGGTCCGCCCGGGCCCCCGCTGCCCGGGACCCCCCCGGGCCTCACAAAGTGCCCCGGTGGAGGGAAGGGGGTTTTCATTCCGTGGGGGGGAGGCATCCCGAAGCCCCCCGGCCCCGGTGGGGGCCCCCTGTGCATCATGTGGGGGGGCATGTGGCGCGGCGGCATCAGCGGGAAGCGCGGCAGCGGCGGGGGCGGCATTCCCGGCGGCCGCTGGAGCGGGATCAGCCCGGGTCGGGCGCCCAGGAGCCCGGTGGATGGAGTCTGGAGCCCGACCACGGGGGCTGGAGGGGGCGGTGCCACGCCCTGGGTGCCTGCAAGGAACACACAAGGGACAGTCAGAGCCTGGCAGCAGGGAACACAAGGCACTTCCATAGCTCCAAACCCACTCTGCGGTTATCCCAGGAAAAGAGCGCACGAGAACTTGGACTGGACCTTCCTGCACTGCCCAGGTGCAAACACACCTCTGTGTGCTGCTGAAGGGAAGATGTGGCAGTGGCAGGAACTCATCCCTGATCCCAAAGGCTTCCTCTGCCCTGCTGCAGGTCAGAGCTCCCCCTCAGCCCCAGCTCAGCCTTTCACCTCCTCCGACTGCAGCCAGAGCCCCTCCCTGGTACAAAATATATATATTATAATATATAAAAGGAAATGCAACAGGTAATTTCTAGATTTGTTTTTTCAAAATACAGTCCTTCATCCTTTACAGGACATATCCAACACCAACTGTTTTCTACTTTAATTCCTGGACTCTTTTGTTTTTAGCACGTTCTTTGCAAGAGGAAAAAAAATTACCCTCTCCAAACACATTGTTGGAGAAATCTCAGCCCAAAGCTCACTGACACCAACAGGAGGAGCCAGAATGGAGGAGGGAGGAATTCTGAGCTCCACCTGAGGCCTTCCCAGGGTGGACAGGAGCCTCCTTGAGGCTGAGCCAGGAACACACTGTCCCATGAGCCCTCACACTGCACCTTCCTGCTCCGGGTGCTCCTGCCCTGCAAACACGGTCCCTGCCTGGGGCGTGTGGTGTTCCTGTACCAATCTGTTGGGACTGTAATGTTTTCACATATATGAATAAAAATGAAAGTTAAAAACAGATGTTACGCCAACTTTTGTAGCTCCTGCCCTGGTAGAACCAGAATGTGGAATAGTTGGGGAAAGTAATGCTGGAATTAGAGACCTGGCGGTGCCAGCAGTGAAAACTGCACTTTCCCCCCTTCCTTTTTAACTCTAAAATGCAGAGCCCTCCCTCCTCCCATCACTGAGCTGAAACTCCTCCCATGACAGAACTGTAGATCTGACAAGCCAAGACACAGGGCTAATGATGTCTCCCAGGAATTCTGAGGTTTGGGGTTGTTCTTGTTGAAAAAAACCCATCTTTTAATCTGCCACAGAAGATTAAAAATAAGGCAGAACAGAATAACTGAGAACTACTGAGCTGAAGAGGACAAGCCTATGCTTCTGCTTAGAATCAGCAGAGCAGACATGGGCTACAACAGCATGAACATGAGGCATGAGAGAAAAGTTTCACATTTAATAAGTACAAGTAATTTAATTTCTCCGCAAACTGCAGCACTGAAGCAGCAAAGTGGTACCTGGGACTCCCCCTCTTTCACTCTGAACACTCTTTGAATATCAGCCCCCTTCAATGTCGAGGCTAAAACAGCTGCAGAAGCATGACCAGAGTTTCCTCACCAATGAAAAACTTGCAGAGCTGTCCAGAAACACACCCTTGTTTACTGAAAACGCTCAGGAAAATTCATGGTACAGATGCACGTGGTGCCAGGTCTGGGAAGATTTAAAGCCCTTTGTTGTGTCATGCAGAGAAAGGCAGTAAATAACATTGGTTTCCCACACTGGGTAAGAACTCCCTGAGCCCTGAGAGAGACCCTGAAGTGATTTATTGACCAGCTTCTTGTAGACAAGAAACCTCCTCCCTTTTACCTGCTCTTCTGTGTTGTTTTGGATGTGTAAAACCACACACTGCCTTCACAACTCACATTATTTATAACTGTCACTGGTTACAGGCCCTCAGACCTTGCACTGTGTTTGCTCAGGAGGGGCAGGACTGAGGTAGGAAAACCCATCCCAAAGAGGAGGGTGGTTGCAGAGTCAGAGCTGAAATAACTCACCATCAATCCCAACACTTTGTAACAGCCACACTCAGAGGGGCTCAGAGAATGTTGTTATCTGTTTTATGATTTAATGCAGATTACAAAACTCACTTGAGAACAAGCCAGCAAGGGAGCAAAGACTTAATGACTGAGCTTGCACTACCAGGAAATGAATGCCAAGTTCAGTGGGAACTCCAGGATAACTAAGCTTTGATTACATGTCATTATCCTGGTGGGAATTTGGGTAAAAAGACCCTACAAACTGCAACAGAGGTTGTATTTCGCCTGGAACACAGAATCTGAATATTCCAAACACTGCATCTGCAGTTTGTTACTGGCCTGAGTTAAAACATTTGCTCAGCACTAAGAACATGTTGCCCACTCCAAAAGGATTTAAAAGCTGTTGTTTCCTGCAACAGGCACCTGTAAAAGGAGCCTAAAAATACCTGCTCTGCAGGTCGTTGAAAATTCCCTGAGTGCTCACTCCCTGAGCCATCACAGCCTGGAGTGTGTTGTTCTGATTACAACAGGGAGGTGGAACAGCAGCGAGTGTGATCGAGGACAAACTAAATTACAACAATCTGAGGGTATTTTTTAGAAAAAGGCACAAAAAATCCAGACCCAATGTCCACAAGGGATCACTCCCCTGAAGCACAACCATGTCCTTGCTGGAAGTGATGAAGGAATTACATTGGAGGCACCAAGGAAATCAGTGGAGATGAGACAGAACTTATAAGAGAAACTGCATGAAATGTTAATCCATTTAGAATTACTTTGTAACATGTCTTCCATATAAAAACTGAACAGAGAGAAGCTTCATTCTGGAGTTACAGAAGTTATTAAAGAGCTCCCATGTGTTGTACAGGTTACAGAAGGTGATCCCAAGCAAGAAGTTTATATCTCTGACAGTCTCTTCCCAGCCACCTCCATCCCTTGAGCTTGGCCTGCTGCAGGTCATCCATGCAGAGCTACATTCAATGCAGGAGTGAATCAAAGTGCTTTTAAGGAGAGTTTAATTTGTGCCAACTTACTGAGTGGTTTGAAAAAGCCAAGATAGCTGATATTAATCTTTTATCTTAAATCACATCACATTATAATGTTTCTTCTGGTTTCCTTGTATCTTTTATCAGACTGTGAGCAGTCCCCACAATTCCAGAACTTCAGGATGGAAGGGTTTTATGTAACCCCTTGATTATAAATAACTTCTTGAAATAAGACACTCAGCAACATCCAATGCTACTGCTTAAGCAAACACACAGATCTCAGCCACTACACTCCAGGGCTGCTCTGTGAGCTCAGAAAACCTGAGCCTGAACCTTGAGAGAAATCACTCTGATCACGTGGACTTTACCTGCCTCAACTACTCAGAGAACAAGTTCTTAAAAAAAAAAAACAAAGGCAAGTTCTTGACTTCCAGATTTCTCAAATTCAGCCTCCTGGGATTTGTAAGAATAAAAAGCAGCTGCTGCCCAAGGAACTGATGTGGGTGTCTAATTTAATTCAATCTTCAGGTTGTAAAACCCTTTTGTTACATGTGCAGCACTACAGCAAAGGGCAGAGGAACTTCATACATTCCACAAGCTTGGAATAAGAAGTTCAGGTTCTGCTGTACAAGACACAAGTCCCATAAAACTCCAAAATTCTGGTAGTGCTGTGCTGCCATCACAAAAAGTGCAATTCACCATGAAGGTGTGACTTTCTGTGTACACTGTAAAGTTCTGGGCAGAAACCCACTGACACAAAATTAACTTTTTCATTCATTTGTTAAGCTGTCATTTAGAGGTCTGAAATCCCATAAATGGAATAATCTCACTAAAATGCAGTCTCCTGAGGCAATTCTTGACACTGGCCCATCAAAGGCCATCCTAAAGTAAACATTTAGCAGAGCTCTGTACTATTAAACAGTTCACACTCCCTTTCAAAATCTGACCAGGTTTGTACCATATTGGGAAAAGTAATTTATGCAACATACCCAAGTTACCTTGGTTTTGTAGTCAAAATACCATTTGGCAATTTTTAAATAATATATTCCTACAAAGGTTTCCAAACCTGTAATACTGCAGGGCTGAGTAAAAGCTTTTGGTTTTCTGTTTTATTAAAACAATTTATTCCATATATAAAAATTATGTGCCACATCCTCACAGATTTCAAAAAATACACTAAAAATAGTTAATAAGTTAATTTTATACATGTAATTGTTGAGTCATGTGGTTCATGTGTCCTGGATGTGTTGTTTAAAGTTCATTTTCTATCCTATATAAACCTCCACTTGCTAAAAGGAGACAGCATTTTAATTTGTAACTTAAACATTACAGCTTTGTTTCTTCAGAAAATATCTTCAATAATAAATGAAACTTCTTCTTCTGTACAAAATTAAGCCTCTAAAAGTGATTTCAAAGCCAACAGAAGGGCAGAAGTTTCAACAAGTTGAGAAAAACATGCTTCCTTTCCCCTGGACTGTAAGTCAGCAGCTAAATCAAAGTGGTATTTTAAATTCAGGGAACAATGAAGTGCAGAACTTACACAAGAGAGCACTTACCAAGGAGTGGGACAGTCTGGGTGACGGGAGCAGGGACATTAGTAGGTGCTACAGGAGGTGGAACAGTCCCATAGATTTTGGAACTATCGGTGGTTTCAGCATTCCCTCTGCCTCCAGAAACTACTGGGATGGGATTTCCTACAGACGACTCCTTTGTAGTGTCCTCACTCCCACCCGTTGCTGTAGCTGAGGAACAAGGCATGGACACATTAACCACCAGCAGCAATTCCTGCTGCACCACCCCTGCCTCCCCCAGGGCTCCAACACTCACAGTTTGGGATGTTCACTGCCGGAGTGTGCGGCACAGACACCGGAGGGGTTATAGGCGGTGGCGGCCCAGGAGGAAGGAAGCCTACAAAATACAGATCCCCTCTGAGTGCCCCTCTGGCACAACACCCCAGTGCAGCTGGGTCTGTGCTCCAGCAGAGCACAGGGTGAATGAACCACCCCCCACGTACCTGGGGGTAAATGCAGAGGGTTGAATCCAGGCCGTAAGAACGGGGGCGGCGGCGGGGGCGGCACCCCGGGAGCAAATCCAGGAGGGGGGATTCCTAAAGGGGCTGTGAAAGCAGGTGGTTGGAGGGCACCAACCACAGGAGGCCCCGAGGGATGTGGTGGAACCTAAGGAAAAAGGAAGGGGAAAAACGTGTTACCCCAAGACTGATCGGGTGATTCCTTGTCCCACTGCACAACAGGAACATTTAAACAGCCTAAAATTGCTCTGCAGCAAGTGAGGCTTGTGTAAGAGACCTAATTAGCACTCAGAGAACTCCTACCACTCACAAGATCAACACCAATCTTGTTTGCCTTTATAATTAGAGAAAAATTCTTCTCTGTGGTAAATGTAATGGTAAAGTATGTTGGTGGCTCACCTCCACACACCCTTCACACAGTGGCTGGGATTCATTTCCATCCAGGAGGATCCAATGCAATGCACATGACTTTGGAGCAACTAAAAACCTTTGCCTGGTTCCTTCTCACTACCTGAGTTTAGACACTATAATATAGTGATTTTTTCCTTTTTTTCCTCTTTAATTCTGATTTCTATCAGGCTCTGAATTTAAATTAGCTCTGATTTAAATTAAGTTGGTCCTTAGTCTCATATTTATGAGCTTATTACACAAACTACACTAAATATGTGGGAATCAAAAGGAAAAAATCCAATCAAAAACATGCTCTGCACTTAGAATGGATTTAATAAAGCAAAGAAGAGCTGTGTGCCCAAGTGACCCCCTCCATGACCAGCAACATTTCAGAACACCAAGACCCCTCATAACTTTTTATTTCTAGAGGAAAGAAGGAAGAGTTTTTGCTGTTTTACTCTCAGGACTGAAAGAACCTGCTCCAGGTTCCTCAGCCCAGGCACACTAAACCTGTGCTATTACAGTTTGAGAATCAAAATGATGATATCAGAAATAGCAAATCTGGGGAGGGATGCAGCAAACTGGGATGAACATGGAAAAATAACTAGAGGGAGAGTTGTTTACTCAGGAGGAGACTGGAATGGAGAAAGGGAGGAGAAAGCACAAGGGAAGGGAAGGTCAGGAAGTGAGAAAAGAATCAGTCGTGGGAATCCTGCAGCAGAAGCTCGTTCTTGACACTTCCTTTTTCAGCATGGATTTAAGGAAAATAAGCAAAATCACTGCTATTTAATACAGTTAATGGCTACTAAACTTTCTGAAATTATAAGTTTGACTTACTGTTCATTTACTAAATAATACTTTATAGCACATCAAGAATCGTGTGTCAAAACAACCCATAATTCAACATAGTATGTTCTCAAATTCCATAACTGGCTAAATTATACATGTCTTCAAATCATTTGAGTTCTTGATCTTCTGTGAGTGCCTGCCACATTGTAGTTCATAAATCACACTTTCTCAAGATGCAAGACAGTTTTATTCATACTCCCTCCCATCTGGGAGAAGGGATACTGCTATTTTAACAGCAACAAGAAACTACTGATATTAAAGTAACAGTGTATCTATCAATAGAAAAGCTTTTTCTTAGGGGAAAATTATTAGGAAAACAAACAAAAAAAAGCCAATCACCAAACTGAAGATGCAATTCAGCCCATCAATAAAAAAAAAACCTCTACTGCAGTAATTTCTCTGTGACTGAGAGAAAAGAGTTACCATTCATGGCATTTCCTCCCTGAATTATTATTTAAAGTAAGTTTTTGTTTCTTTATCCCAAGTAAATGAGGAACAACTCTCACCTGTGGAGGAGGTACTGTTATTGGTGCAGGCATGGGGACAGGGATAGGGACAGGTAAAGCTTTGGGTATAGGTGACACTGGTTCATTGTGTGCAGCTTCTGCTCCTCCGTTCTGAGCTACTTCATTTTCAGCCTTCTTGGGGATTCCCTTCCACTCTGTACAACACAAAATCCCAACAGACAAGGATCAGCTCAGAGGGGGCAGAGAGGTGAAACACGTTTGCTGATGTTTAAAAAAGGACCTCATTGAAAATACTCAGATAAGAAGCATTTATACGTATTTCTGACAATAATAAAAAGAAATAATTAAAAAAATTGGACAGAATGACCCAACCCTGAAATAAAGCTTCAGTAACTGCACACCACTGAACATGCAGCACTGCTGTACCTGGACTGAGAGTTTCATTGTCCAGCATTCCCCCTTCACAGAAGCTTTCAAGATCTTCAGGTTTGACTTTGTCCCACGGTATGTAAGTCACACCTAATTCCACATCCCAATACTGCTTGTAGTCTGGCTTTATTCCTTTATTCAGAGCCCATGCAATCTTGGAGGGGGGGAAAAATACATGTCAGTCAGGCAAATGTTTCCATTTTAATGCATTTCATATTTCCTTCTCACAAAACAGCATTACCTAAATAGTAACTAAAACAGTTACAACCCTCTGAAGTAAGTTGTTTTTTCCTAAAGCAGACTTAGTTCTTTTTCCTTGGCTTGAATTTTGCTCACTATTTGTAAAAATGTATAAAGCCAGTTTCTTCCCATGTTCCCCAGCCACTAAAATTAATTCCAGTTCCCTTGGAGGACTCTAATATGATGTTCTACAGAAGGAAGAACTTCACTAATTTAATGCATCCTTCCTTATTCATTAGTATCTTTGTAGGATTATCATATGTAATGAAACTCTTATGAGACAAATATCCAACAGTGAGAAAACACAGTTCCAGTCCCCTGCAATGGCTAAAAGGGCACCATTTTTATTGGTTAAATAGATAATTATTGGCAATCTTTTGAGGAAACTGATACAAGCTCCACTAACCCCCTTACAGGAAGAATAATTCTTAAGAAGTGGACCTCCCCATAAATTCACAGAACACATAAGAGTCTCAAATACCCAAAAGCCCACCACAGATGAGAAAGGAGGACAGTAATTCCAGCAGCTTTAGAAATCCTGACATTTTCCAAGCAGTACCTTGATGGATTTCTGGTTGACTTTGAAGTTCCCTCGGCTCAGTTTCTGGAGGGCTCTGTTGGCATCTTGTCTGTGCACCATGACAATGTAGGCACATCCTCTGGGGGGGATCATCTGGTTGGGGTTTAAGGAACAAAATTGGTTTTGCAAATGAAAAAGCAATGAACAGCACACAAGTGTTCAGTTACAGCAAGCTGGGACATCAGAGGGTGTTCCAAAAGGGGCTATGGAAGTATGGAAGGGAATGTAATTTAAGAGGCCACTATCTTCAGGAAGTACACATTTCTAATAAACTAAAACTTCCACAACTTCTGATGTGAAAAGCTTTAAACTCTAAAATATGGCTGACTCTTGTAATATTTAATTTTTTCAAACTGCTAAACACGTAAATGCTGTGGTCTGGCAATTAATTACCTCGTTGGAAGACACACCAATACCCCCCTTCATTCCATATACCATGAGCTGGCAGCTGCACCTCCACACTCAGGTCTATCTGCAGCTTTGGAATAATTTTTATTATTTATAATGAATTTGAGAAAAATCTCCTACGTTGTTTTACAAAATTTGGAATAGGAAGAAAATTGCAGTCGCTTCTTTTTGTTTGTTTCAATGAAATTTTAAACAGCTATTTGATATATATCAATATATAAATACATACATATATAAATGTATGTATGTATATATGTATGTATTTATATATTGATATATATCAAATATCCTTAAATACAGCTAAACAAAACAACAGTTCTGTGTTTATGGCTAAAATAACACCAGCTGAGGGTCCACATTTCTGTACTCAAACAAAATGAAGCAGATGAACCCAGCAGCACAGGATGTAATTCTGCAGGCATCAAGCTCTTCCTCATTCTCCAGAGAAGGCAGGATTTTTATGAAAATGGGATAATCTTGTGTTTTATTTGCATTTTTAAATTGCAAGAACCCAAAACAACTCTGTTCTTTGTCTACAACTCAGCCAAACTAATTGAGCCTACACATTAAAAAAGCACAACATGCAGAAAATGAGAGCTCAATTCTTTGGAATTTATAAAAATAAAGCTGTCTTAGAGCAGCCTGGAAACACTTTTTGTAACCAAGCTCCCACTGCAGCATTTATTACTCACATTGATCGACTCAATGGGGCCAAACTCTTCCAAAAGACTTCCAACATCCTGCTGAGTTGTTCTCTTGTCGAGCTGTCCTACCCAAAGTGTGGTACTACAAACTGCAACAAAGAGTTAACTCAGGTTGGGAGAGCCATTATTGACACAAGCTCCTCTTACAGGACAGAGTAAGCAGCACATTGATCTCACTTCATGCTGAATTCAGGGTAATAAACCAGCAACTGAGCTCAAAGTATCACACTGGCTGCAGTTTAGCACAGCAACATTTAATCCTCAGCCATGTTTTGCCCACTAAGTGATACAAAACTGCAAACTGTGACAGCACCAAGTGACAATCTGGGAGAGGTGCTGGCAGAGGCACATCTCACACCACTGCCAGGGAGCTTTCAGTGAACAGCTGCCAAGGCCCTGCAGTCCTTTTACACTCCTGGAATTGTCACTCACCAGGTTTTGGCTTGTTAAAACTCTTCAAGTTTGTGTGTCTCTTACATAAGAGAATGCTTTCATTTTACTTGCTGACCCCGGAGAAGATTCCACATTCCAAAGGAATATTCAGAAGACAACTACTATGTTTGGTCTATAAACATAGGCAAAGCCAGGATTACTTCAGATTATTTCAGCCTGTGTTTTCCAGGTCAAAGCCCCCTTCCAGGTCTGAGAGACACACAACACTGAATAATTAGAAAAATTGTAATAATTTACAACTAACTCAACTTGTTATTTAATCTGCTTTAGCTTGCAGGTCTCAAAGGAAGGAAAAATAAAAACATGGGGCTTCAACTTTTTCTTCTCATTTACAGCCAAAGTATTTCCAACTTGGAGATATTCCAAAAATGCCAAACTGTCTACTATGAGTAAAGGAAGTGCAGGGATGTGAATTTAAGTCCTACCAGTCCTTTAAATGTGAATTTAAGTCACAGTGCAGTTTACTTTCTTTCTGTCTGGATGAATCTTGGAGACCCAAGGAAGAGGAACACAACAATTTAAAGAATATTGCTCAAAAAAGTGGTAGTGCTGGTATTTGCAAAGTTGCATCCACAATGAAAGTGATGCCTTAAGCCCCCTAATGTTTTTTTTATTTTTCTAATTTTGTAAGCCTTAGAAGTTTTATAGGTAATAGAAGTAGATTTTAGAAACAAAACCCCTTTCTCCCTCCTCCCCTAGCACCCCTTAGTTTACACATTCCTTAATCCTCTCACCCCATTCCATACCCCCCATGTCAACCCTATTCCCATATCCAGTAGAAAATGTTTAGTCTCTTAGTCAAGGCAAGGCCTGTCTTGTTTGGGGAACACTTGTATCTTGGCCTAAACCGCAGGACAGAGTCAAAGAACTGGGTGACTCTGCTCTCTGTACCCCGAAGATGATGAAGGATGATGAAGAGGGGGTCCCAAAAAGCCTCCCGACCCAATTCCAGGAGGTGGGCCAGGGGGTGGACCAGGCCAAAAGTTATAGGGTGGACACACTTGGGATTGGCCAGATATTGTTATAAATGTAACATCCCGGGCACAGCCCGGGGCGCGCGTCGTTTACCATCTCTTGCCTTGGCACAATTAAACCCTTTCTTATCTCACCCCAACTAAGGGCTCCTGGATTTTTTTCTAAGCGCCAGCTGAGCAGGCATCAAAAGGAAGAATGAACTCACCACTGACGGTTTCTGACTTGATCTGGGGGAGGCCCTTGGACCTGCGCTCCCTCTCCCGCTCCCGTTCCCGCCTTTCCTGCGAGCGCGACTTCGGCGAGTGCCGGCGCCGGTCCCGGGAGCGCGACCGGGAGCGCCGGTGACGGGAGCGCCGGGACCGGGAGCCAGACCTGGAGCGTTTCCTCTTGGGGGACCTGGTGGGAACCAAAGCTCACGTCAGCAAAATGTTTATTGCTTCTACAAAAAAAAAAAAAAACCCGGCTAAAAAAGAGATTTCCAGTGAATTCTGCCACTGAAATGGGGGTTTATTGACAGGCTTGAAGTTACTCTCTCCCAGGAAGAGAACTGCACAGAGACCCAACTTCCCTCAGAGGGGAGATGACTTCCCGGGGTTCATAATTCTTAAAGAGTCACTAATCCAGCTCTCATTCCTGCACTGAAAGATACCCAACTTCCCTCAGAGGGGAGATGACTTCCCGGGGTTCATAATTCTCAAAGAGTCACTAATCCAGCTGTGATTCCTGCACTGAAAGAGCTGTCACTGATTTACCTTGATGCAGATCTAGATCTCGACTTCCTGCTGTCAGAAACGTGCCGTTTGCCCTCCTGAACAGGTGGCTGCTCCACTTCCATATCCTAAAATATGAAGTTGACTGGTGTTAGGGGTGAGCAGCACAAGTATTTTATTTCTTTTTATGCCAAGATTGAATTATGAAACAGCACTAAAATTACGCTGAATATTCAAATGTGTGAAATTAAAGAGTAACGTGGCTCTCCCTCAGAAGCTTCACCTCTGCTCTGTGTCACTGACAGGGAGAGGGTCCAGTATTCCAGGTACTTAACACAACCACTGAAAAAACAGCCAAGAAATAATCTGAACAACTCGTTTTCCATTTGCAAATTATCTTTTTTCCATATTTCAGTCCATCTCCACAGAATATGATTATTCTCCTTAAAGTCAGTCAGTGGATCCTGCTGTGTCAAAGTGAGGTTTACTACAGCTCTTCTCCAAGACATTACTAGAAACTACTTTAAGCCCTGTATGTAAGCACTGTAACAAATTTGAAAAATGAAGCAGAAAGTCAAAGCAATACATAAGATGCAAGAACCTGCTTAAAAAAAGATTAATTCCAACACAGATTTCCTTCCCACCCCAAATCTTCCACAGCTTCCCATTCCAGAACATAACTGTGTCCTGCCTAGACTCTAAATTTTAATTTAAATTTTAAAATAAATTTAAATTTTCATTATATGACCCCAGCAGGGAACACCAAAAAAAGCCCTCTCTCAAAATGTACTGATTCAACAGAATGCTAGACTAAAAAAACTAATTACAAAGACACTCTTGAGAATTGTCCTTTTATTCCAAGTCAAAGCAAGAACTGATTTCTACAATCTGTGATGTCGCAGCTTGGTACCATCTCTATTTCTCAGTTCAGGATTTCCTTTTCTTGGAACAAAAGAGGCAAATAAACTTTTTAAAATATATATATATATATACACATATATAGGCTCATGAATAGACTTGCTCTTTGATTTCTTCTTAATAGCAGCCAGTTATTGAACCTACAATATCCTGAAAAACCTTAGGAACCAAAGCATTTACTTGGATTTTCTTAAGTTGTTACAGATTTTGAGTCCATTTCCACTACATTCCCATTCTACCAGGCCCTTACAAATTAACTTTTCCAGACGGTTTCTTCACACAAGAAGATTGCATTGTCAGAATTCCATGGCACAAAATATTCCTGAAATATGATGGGAGACAGGAAAGGGAAGATGAGGAAAGCACACACATGGTGGTTTTGCCAGACTTGTCCTGGAGCCCCCCAGCTTAATCCAACCATGTCCCAATGGAGCCACCCTCAGAGCCAGCTCTGTCCTTGATATCCTGACACTTCTGCTCCTGCACAATCCATATACATTTGAAAAACACGTGTATGAGAGCATTTAAGTTACTTTGTTTACTGCAAGGGCTCCTCACCTGCTGATGGGGTTTCTGCATGTGTGACTCAGTCTGGACTGGAAAAGGAGACTGGAAAGTTGGCTGCACAGGTGCTGCTGGTGGAATCACAGGCTGAGCCATGGGTGGGAACTGAGGGGTAGGCAGGAGACCAAAACCTGGCATTTGCCCATTAGGAGGAAGTGGGACCTTTAGAGAATAAAAAAGACAACAAAAAAATCCAGCTAGGAAAAGAAATTACATTGTCTTTCTCGGTTTGCTCAAGTTAAGTTGTATCTGTGCTCCCAAGTCACAATAAAAGACGGGGGAAAGATGAAGTAGGTCAAGCATTTAGATGTAGAAAACAATCTTGTTCTTCAAAGCCTGACTGGGACAGAGAACAAAGATATGTTTCTTTAGAAAAATTGAGGGCTAAGCCACATTCACTCTTCACAATGGTAAAACCACTTCCTTATTTCTGCATCAAAGAAAACAAGCAAAAGATAGAAAACACCAGAGAGGGACGAGGGAGAACCTGAAGTTACCTGGTGACGCATTGGATCCTGCTGCATTCCCATCATCCGCTGCTGGAAAGGATCCATATTTGGGAGCTGAGGAAATACTGGCTGTTGCATGCCTTCTGCTGGAAACCCACTGAAACCAGGAATATTTTAGTGAGACAAGTCAGTACATACACAGATCTCTTTATTTTCCAGATTTCTATACACATCTACACAGCCTTGCTGTAATTTTAGACAGAACAAGAATCTTTACTATGATCCCATTTCCAACAAAAAAAAAAAAAGGAGAAAGAGTGGTTTCCTTATCTTTTTTCCACTCTAAGAGTAGTCCTTTATCACTTAAAGCAATGCTACACAAAGGTTAGAGCCTCCCTCTCCCCCCTGACTTACAAAGATCTCAGCCTACGGAAATGTTTCAGGAAGGTTGTCTGCCTTAGGCTAAACTTCTTCCTCTCCAGTTCCTCTTCTGGGAACAAAAGAAGCAACCCTTTTCCTCAAGGAAAATAAACCAGCTGTACTACTGCTGTTAACAACCACCTTGGTTTGGGAGGAAATAGGGCAGAGGAGCACAGGATGTGTATCACAGCAGGATTACAGCGATGCCAATCCCTTCCTGATTCAACACACAGCGTGGACAGTGCTCAGGGAACTCAGGACCTGCCTGCAGGAAACTGAACTGGATTTCAAGAGGATACAGGAACTTCACGGGGATGGGAAATGGAGCTTTGCACTATTTGAAGACACAGATACCATAAAATTCTGCAGAGGTTCTGGACAGATCGGTTTTTCATAGAGAGAATGACTGAGTTTCTGTGCCCAGACTGGGAATACTGGAATTCCACCTTCAGGGACATCTTGCCCAAGTGTGAGGTGCTAAAGACAGAGGCTCTGAAGCGCTGCCAACACAACATAAACATGCCCAAAAGCCTCTAGCTGGGCAGGCACAAGCAGTGCTTACGTGTGACCTACCTCATCTCTCTGTACTCCAGAGTTCACCTGTATTCTAGGGAAAATACCACCAATTTCCTTCAAAGGCATTTTAATTAACTAGTACTTGTGAAACATAAAAGTGCTGGAGGTGAGAGACACAGTAAGAAAGCTGATGAGAGTGTTAGTGGTTCTGGTTTTGAGAGCAGGGTTTGGATGCAGATACAGAAAGTAAGACATGGGGCCACGGACTGAAGCAGGGGAAAAAAGAAATATGGACTAACCCCGGCATTGAGCACCATCCAGCCTGTGCACTGAATGAGAGAGAGGTCCTGTGGAGAAAACTGGGATGTGGTCATGGCATTCCAGACTTTATCATAACGCACAGCAAAAGGGAAACAGGACTCTGAGCTCGTTCGTGGGGGGACTGAATGTTTGAGAACCTTAAGCCAATTTTCATTTCTCAAGTAGTTAAAACCATCACAGTGTTTGGAATAGCATCTTTTCCCCAGCCAGCAAAGCAATCCAGCTGATCACTAACAATGCCCTGAGACACACTCAGTTGTGCAATAAACACATCTTGAAATCCAAGCTAAGCTTTTCTCTACAGAACACAGTCCTCAATCAGTGATGTTACATAAACCCACACCACATCACCAAAGTGAAGAGACATAAAAAACACCCCGCCAAAAATTGTTAACAGAAATTGTTAACAATGTTTTAAATTTGGGCTGTAACGGTTAAGCACTGAAGTAACTTCGAATTTTAATCCACTTTCTAACCTAAAAGTCTTTTAGAACAAAGATTTCTTAGTTCTGTTATGACACACAACTTACAAAGCCGGCTGAGACACTGAAGGGGAAGGAGCTGAATCTTCTTTCTTTGCATCTTCCACTGCTTCTGGTTCATCATCATAGTCAAACCGATCTAGAAGTTTCTGGAAGAAATCACATTGTGCCCACTATTTTTCCTGTATCTGACAGAATTGGCAGCCAAAATATTTTTATTATCACAGTTTTACTACATATCTAACAGCTCTGGAATTCAACACAAGGTTAGAATGGGAGAAAAATAAAAACCTATGTTCTAGTACAGAATAAAAACTGTCCAAAACTAGTTTTCTTCAGCTTCAGAAAATGCACAGGCCATAACAGCAGGAAGCCAACCTCCAAATGGAAAGAGAAGAAACAAAATTAAAACCTAACAGAGGACACTGAGGTACCACCCCACAGTTGTGTTCTGGGGAGGTTCAACACAGAACAAACCAAGGCTTACTTTGTCAAACGATGTTTTCTGCTCAGGTGCTGGGAAAGCAGCTTTTTGCTCTGGTGCCTGAGCTGCTGTGGTTTTCAGCTGAGCAGTAATAGCTTGAACCTGAGCCATCACAGTGTTGTCTATGACCGGTGACTGGGGCTTCTGAGGCTGCTGGAAAGTCTGCAGGATTTGCTGAAGCTACAAAAACACAAGGTAGTATTAAGAATATGTTCTTATATAAACACAAAACATCAAAAGAGTTGTAGGTTATAACTTTTATGTCAAACCAGACTATGGCAAAGGATGAATACCAACAACCTGACTGAACTAGGGAGAACTCTCAGCAAGACCAAGAGTCTCTTCTTAAATCCTTCAGTGGCAAAATTCAGCAGATCCCAACATTGTAGGACTTGGGCCCTTCAGCACTGCTTAGTGGACTGAACAAGAGAACTTCAGATTTTCTTTCTTATATTCCACCTGTCCTGGAAACTTTGTAACTGCATCAATTCCCAACTAATAATTTAGGAATATTTAACTGCATTTTCCCCAAATACCACAATTACTGGATGGAAGGGTCACAGATAATTCAAGTACTCTTTGACTCCACTGAAGACCTTAAGGAGGCTCTTTCGCTTTGCTTCATATGGGGGATCTTAATTCCATCATTTTCTCCCCTCACTTCACGTAAAAGCTGGAGTTGGAAGGGAACCAACAAGCAGGTTACCTGTTGTCCTTGTGTTGTCTGGAACAGCTGAGCTACAGCTGCGAAGGCGTCGGAGCTGGGCAGCTGTGGCACGGTGGGCACTGAGTTCGCAGTCACCTGAGGGGGCTCCAAGGGGACCTTTGCCGGAGGGGGCGGCGAACCTGAGGGATCCACAGGAGCAGAGGAAGGGCTGTGTCACTCCAGAGCACCCACCCTGCTCCTCACCTGCCTCCTCAAAACAAGGGCCTGGCCACAAGCCCCTCTTTAACCCAAAATTCCTTATTTACACCACCCCAGCTGCACATTCCGTTTGTTTTGCCGCGAACTGCCCCGACCACTGTCCACACCTGCACACTGTGTGCACCAGGAAAGGAAAAAGGCCCATCTGGAAGCTGGTCCCACATGGAATTTTAGAGCACAGCTCCCTGTTTGTAAGTGTCCAAGTTTAGAACACCTCTAACTCCAACAGCATCACTGTGTGATGGTTCTGGGCTCATCCTTTTGGAGTATTTCAAATGAACCAGCTCATGGCTCATCTAAAGAGCAACTGGGTTTCTCTTAACATTTTCTATTTTCTAGCAGGAACTGAACTTTTTCTGAGAATTCTGGTAATAATTAGAGGTTATTCCACAGGCAGCTCGTTTTCTTTGGTAAGGTCTGTTCACGTGCCCCTTTTGCACAGGCACAAGCCACACCTGCAGCTGATGGATAAATCCTCCCACCAGAAAAATTACTTTTCCTCATTCTTCCAGGAAAAGACTCCCATTTCCAGGAGCTTTACTGAAATTGAGATCACACTTTAAGACATGCTGACAGCTTTGGCTACATATGCAGCTTTCTCATTCTCTTTGCTTTACATTAAAATGCCTTTTTTAATAAACATTTTGCCAGTACAAGGTAAATTAGCAACAATACCATCAATTCCTCCACACTGTGAGCAAGTCACTATTCTTTAGCAAATTTGTTTTAATGGACATAATAGAGCTTTATAAGGAGTGACCGTTAAAGAAACTCCACAGATAAAAATATTTAGTTTGAAATACTAAGCAAACATGTTTGCCTTGCAATACCATCTCCTTTAAAGCCATTCCTCTGTTTGTACTTCAAATAACTCCAGTGTTGACAAGCAGCAAGCAGAGACAAACGTGTTTAATATTTTCCCAGAAGTGAAATGCGATATAAAAATACTGCAAAAAAGGTATGTGGTTGTTCTTAAGCATGAAGTAACTCCCCAATTATTTCCTGTATATATTCAGAAGGATATTTGCTTGCTCAAGGGAGAAAATTTGCATTTTTCTCTCTATGGGCTAAACAGATTGTATCTCACATAATGCATTAATATATTTATTATTATTCATTAGCATATTTATTTCAGGGCCAAATTATCCCCTCTGGTGCATGTGAATAATCTCACTGAAAATCTTTGCAGAAGGCAGCCAACCTGTTTGCCACCAGTGAGGAGACACGGCTGGAAGGGCAGTGCCCCTCACCTGTCCCAGCAGAATGAAACTGCACAAACACCACATTTCATGGGATACACTTCCCTAAACACAGCTGGAGAGGCTCCCACTTGTGCTGCTGTTGTCTGTCACCACCCCTCCCTCACTCCATTCCACTTTTCCCAGTCCTACTCCAAGGTACACAATGAATAAGGAGGTTACCAGAGCTCGGCGTGAAACCCGGAGTGCAGAGCCAAAAACCAGGCCCCTCTGGAGAAAGAGGGAATTGTGGAATGTGTATTCTCCTCCACTGCTCCATAACCTCACTGCCAGCTTTTCATGGGGCACAAAATAGGTCAGTGCAGCACTGTGGGCAGGCCCTCCCTGCTCTGCTCTGTGGGTCAGTGCTTTCCAGCCCGGACAGAACTGCACTGTTTGAGAATCTGGATGGGAAACACCAGTTAAAGTGTCCCAGGGCTTGTACTGAGACCCCGACAGCTGCTGCTTTCAGGTACTAAACTGATCCCAAGAAAGACAAAGCTCTTAACATGTAAGATCCCACTTTACTCATCTGGATTCTAACATTGCATCAGAATTGGAAAACTGAGATACAACAGACAAATATTTCAAAGCAAAAGAAAAAGTCCTTGTTTAAGAGGGGACATAGAAGTCATCTGTAAGAGTCCACATATGTATGTGCACGTGCATATTTGTGACACACATTTCAGGTATTTTCCAACTAAGTGCTCACCAAGTACAGTATCAGCATTTATTCAAAGTAAGTTCAGCTGCTCCACTTAATTGTGACAACAAAGGTGAGTTTATGGACATGTTACTGCTGTAACTAAGAGCAGGTGCTCTCCTGTGAAAGCAAACAAGCCATTGCCATTTGCCCTTTGAAGGCAGAAGTTAAAATGTTCATTCCTACCTTCATTGTTAGTGGCATTCTCTGCCATTGGGGCAGTGGCACTAGTTCCTGCTGCCATATCCAGGAGAGGCTGAATTATTTCAATTTTAAATACTCCGTTTTTCTGCCAAAGGTTCAGGACACGGACTATTTTACTCTGTTGAAACAAAAGTAAGCATCAAGGCTGAATCCAGCTCTCCTTATTCACAAAGTCCCAGTTTGTCTTCTGTATGTGGAGAAGAAAGGTTTGAACAGCACATAACAGGCACACCAATTTAACAAACCCTGTGTTGTGACACAGGGCAGCAACGCCTTTTACATGGTTAAAATTAAAACTGTCAACTTATTTTACTGTCTGCTTTAAGAAAAAGCAATTTGTGACACTTTCTGGCCAGTCAGAAATCCGGGTCTGATGAACAATCAAGGACATCACTTCAGCCCCATTTCTTCACAGATGGTCACCAAGGGATGAACCAACCAACCAATGTGACTAGAAAAAGGAAGACAAGCTGGAAAGCCCTAAGGAAGAGGGGGGCAATTACACCAGGAAACACCAGAACAGCACTTCAAAGCCAGGTTGAGGATTGCTTCCTTGATTTTATCCCTCACCCAACCAATTCTGTGTTGACTCCAGAAACCATCTCCATCATTGCTCAAAAGACCAGGAAAGCAAGTGGGAAACATCCTCCCTGATCACTGCAGAAGGATTAATTTAGAATCTCTGATTGTCAGCTGTTATTTTAAGCTCATTTCTTTTTTTTCTTTTGACACGAAGAACAACGCAGCTTTCAGGAACAAGCTGGAAATCAGCCTTTCCTTCTTTAGCCCAGCACTAAAACAATGTCTCACTACTTGTGTTGCTTCAGTTGGAATATTCAGGCAGGTAGAAGTCAGAATACATGTTGTGTTGCTGTCCTTTTGTAGGTTTAGTCATCTCACCTGCACATATAGAAGCTTCAAATACTTTTTACTTGGAATGAATTGATTCTGTCCCTTCTTGTTTCAACAATTCAGTGTCTCACAGTGACTCAGTTATCTACACCCATGCAAATCCACCTCTACCTTCATTAGCTAAGTGATTCAAGATTTTTACAAAATGTTTGCTAAAATAACATCAGTTAGAGAGAAACCTGAAATAGTCTATTTTTAAATAAGAGTTAAACTTGAAAACAGCAGAATATCAAAGCAATAAAATGCTATCTCTCCAGAAGACCTGAAAATAGAATGAAGGCCAAAGAATGAGTAAATGTAATAGTCCTGTTTTCAGTCACATTAATCTTACAGAAAGGCTGTTTAAAAAAAAAAAAGTAGCATTCTCTTCAGACATCAACCACAGTTGTTGTGTATCTGCAGATCAGGTTTTTTGGTTTAGAAACTGGAAATCCATCAAAGCAAGCACATTATAAATAATATTATTCCCTATATCAAGTAGCCCCATGAAGGAGATGGACAGTCTAATTCATTTATGTGAACAAAATGGTAGGCACAGAAACAGAAAGGAGAAAGGACTGCTCTTTTTCACCAAGGTATTAACCCAGGAGCTCCAGGATATCAGATTCAAAGCCTGAAGGTCTAAATGTTCCACATTAGAGAACTACGAACATCAAAGCTTTTCCAAAAGCTTATTTAGAAAGCTGGGGAAGAAGTCAGGTAGAAAAGGAGTATTTTACAGAGAAAAAGCGAGGAGGTGTTTTTCTGGAAACCAACTGGCAACTTCTGAAACATACTTATCTTGGATTTTCCTGCCAGGGCACAAAAGTCATTTTCTGCTGGTAACAACCAGGACCATCAGGAATTCAGGACACTTTCTGAGCCTCTGTTCTACCAACAACTACAGCAGAACTAAGAAAAACAAGGCCTTAAACCAGTGTTGGCAATGGAGAACAGCAATGAAACCCTCAAGTACAGGATTGGGAAAGACTGATGAAACCAACACAGTGATTTTCTTAGAAAACTTTTGTGAGCAGAACCATCACTGCCTACAAAACCAGAGCTGCTCCTGCAACACTTCCTTTTTGTGGGAGACACTGCCTTCCAGAGGAAGTTTTCCTGAAGCAACCTCAAGAGGAAAAGCTTTTGGCACAGTAACCACACAGTGCTGAAGTGTCTGCACAGGCAAAGCTGATGAGGGTAGGCAAAATATATCTTTTAACTCCAACTTGCATTCAACTATCACCTTTGATCATCTTCCTCAGCCTGTTTTACCCTTTCCTACAGCAAGGGTAAAACTTTTTCCCCTCCCAGGGACAGAGAGAATCACCCAGTTCACTGTCACAGGAGAGCAAACACCATGACCAATGCACAGCAACACTTTGAGGAGTGACAGTCATACCTTGTCTTCAGATGGACACAGATACAAATACTGGAATGTGGCAGTAATATTTTTAGAGAATCTTGGCCCAAAAACATCTTTGTCTGTTCCAAACTGGTGCCGGGACTGACGAACAATGGAGTCAATCACGTACAGCCCAGGGACTTTGTACTCTGGTTTGCACTGAAACACAACAAGAATTGTCCATCAGGCAGGGATACTCCCAGGAAATCTGCTCCTGGGGAGAAAGGGAGCACTGCATTCCAGCCTGTTGCTCTACATGCCCAGGCAAGCATGAAAACTGCCATTTCTGAAAGTATGGATTAACTTAGTGACCATTAATTTTAAGTTCAGTACCTCCAGTTTCCTCCCCAGCTGCTGGGTAGAGAAAAATTTCCCAATTTGCTTCCCCTCCCCATTAATTTATGATGGAAAACTAAAATGATGTTATATACACAAAAGTTATACCAAAATGTATAAAATCCTAACAAACCAGGATTTCCCCCCCTCAATCCCTGAGTAACAGAAACCTTTCTGGTTATTTATTAGCAATATCTAATAAAGGATGCAGACAATAACTTTATCAACAGATTTTTTTATTATTTTTGTTTACCTTTTTGATAAACTTCTCCACAATCTGGACAACATGCTTGTAGAGCTGGAAAATAAATAACATACATTAACATATCAGCTACTCAACAGTGGCACATCATTTTGGAAGTGTTTTTACTCTTTGTGGTTATTACCACTTCGGAAAGAGTACAGAATATGGCATTCACGTTATAAAAGGCAGGATGTTATCAAGCTAAATTAATTAATTAAAGCACAGAGAAAAGGATTTCATGGGGGAGACCCAGACCCAAGGCATCCTTTGTGCCAGCAGTGTGTCAGTGAGAAAGTGAAACTTTTCTGGAGTTACTTTCTGTGCAGGACCAGTGTTTCCACGTGCTAATAAAGTGCAGTTGCACCCTGCAACAGTTAAAATTTTATTTCACAAGAATCACAACACCCTAGTGGGTGTAGCATTAAAAAGCAATGACCCCAAAAAAAAATAAAAATCAAGCTGGCATCGTGTTCCCAGTCCAAAACCAAGAGATGATGTTCACCACCCACTTGTTTCTACACAAGAGCCTCAACGCCCACCAGAATAAACCATCCCCGAAGCTGAGACTGGGAAATCCTGATATTTACTTCAGAAGTGAAATAATAAAACATTGCTGCTGTTTACAGTTTGGTGTTTGTGCCGTTGTACTTTACCTTAATAGCTTTAATGGCAGCTTTTGTGATGAGAATCATCTTTGCTCGGGAAATAGGAGGTTTCATCTCCATCAGTGAAAAGAGCTGAACGGAGAAAAACAAACATTAGAAATGTGTTCTGAAGCTTAAGGAATTCACCAAAAAAGACAACATTTCAGGTGGGTGAGGGATTTTTGATATCCCACGCTCTGTGTTGGCCACATTGCTGGCTGGCCCTGAGGGAACTTGCCATTTTACAAACCTATTTTGCTGTTTTACAAACTCTGCTGCCTTATTCTCCACAGGTCACCCAAGGGAAAAGTTCGTTCCTCAAGGATATTTTTCAGGAGTTATTGGTCTTTATAGATGACATGTATGTGTGTATATATATATATATATATAATGAATCATCCATGAAGACATCTGGATACACTTTCCCCAGGATCCCAGCACCACCTGAACACTGTGACATGACATTCCATCCGTGTGGAATGTTTTAAGAGAACAGGGAACTGAGGGATTTGGGGAGATTTGTTGTCAGTGACAGCCTGGCACTCACACACACACACCCCAGAGACCCCAGATTCCAATGCCCATTGCACCGCTCTCCAGATCCCTCGGGATCCCCCTCTGGATCTGCAGTGAATTCCATCAGCTCCACAAGCTGCTCTTGGAATTCTCCCTGTAAAATAACCCCAAAACCACCCCGTGCACCGCACTGTGTTCTTATGGCAAAACAACACTGAGATCTGCAAGGTTTCTACACATACAGTTGTTTTTACCTTGAAATATTCCTCACAAATCACAGGGGAAAAAATTGTTTTGTGTCACACAATTTCATTTTGCCCTTTACAATGAAGAAAAAATTGAGCCCTTGGACACTAGTCAAAAGTGTCATCAATTATGTGCCACAAAGCAAAATAAGAGAATACAAGTGTCTTCATTTGTCAGTGTAATGGAAAGTAAGATGTCATTTAAAAATTACTTCTAATTTTAATTAATTGAAGTTCCAAGATACTGGTGAAGTGACCAAGTTACACAGATTTATTCACTGTCTCGGTCAAGGAAAAAGAATCAATGAAGAAGCCAAAAAAATTTGGCCAAATAAGGCAAGTGATTTGCTAACAAGGCTTTCAGCAGGACAAAGGGAGGCCTTACACCTCTAAAATACAGAGAGCTGGCAACAAGGTATTTACTTTCTTAATTCAATTCCTATTCCAGGAGATGTGACAGAAGAAAAACTGTCGTTCAAGACAGCGGTAGCCAGATGCCTTTTCCAGCACCAACACAAGACCCTGAATTCTCATTATTCATCTCCATAAAATGCCAGTTCCAATGCCAGAATGTTGGACTTTTAAAGCCATTTTAACTGTTAAGCATATTTCAGCTTGATGAGAAATCACAGCACGGACAAATCAAAACTGTCAGATAAAAGACAGAAGGAGAGAGGGGTCTGCGAGCTGACTCGGTTTTAAAAACAAATCTTGTTTTCAATTTGGACTTAATTGCTTTAAAATAAGTGCAAAGACTCTCGATGAACGAAGTCAGTAATATTATTAAAACTCAGAAAAATCTGTTTTAAGAGGTAATGAAAGGGGAAGAGAAATTGAAAGCCCAACACCCACCACGAAGCACCAGAAGGCTCAAAAACAGACGGAGGAGGGAAAAAGCAGCCAACATTAAGACAGGCATTCCATATCTTTTCCTTTGCACATGGAGAAGCAACTGGTCCTCCAGCAACAGGATCCAGTCCCATATAGTAAGAACAAAGGAGCTGGTGTGAAAGCAGCACTTTGTATTTCAGGAACACAAGGAGAGACCCCCCCAGGAAATTGGGAGGGCTCAGAGCAGGGCCCAAGGTAACAAGAAACAAGGGGCAGCAAAAATAGAAAGAGAAGTATCTTTAAAGTATCCCAAGTTTGACACTGCAATTGGGGGAAGCACGGAAAAAATAAAAATCCAAGGAGAAAAACTGCCAGGGAGGACAAAGGCACACATACATATATATATATATATATATATATATATATATATACACCTACAGTACATATATGAGTGTGCATGTTTGTGTATATATATATATAAAAATCTATTTGCCCTCTCTTCACCCTCCCCATCACCATCTCTTGGAATTTTACAACAAAACTTTCCTACTTTTTTTCAAGTTACCTGAAATCTTCAAATATCAAATGACTACTTCAATGCTGAGGTTTTTTTAATTCTCAGTATTGGTTAAATGTGTCGACACCACGTTTTAAACACAGGTAAATCTAAAATTTAACACCCTTAAAAGTCCCTCGTGGTTTTCCACTGGTAGAAGGGGGAGCTGCTCAGTAACCCACCCATGAATTTACATTTCCATGTGTTCAATTAGACTGGGATCTTCTTCCACACACATTGCCCAAAGCAATACACCAAAAAAACCACCCCTATTTTCAGAGGATTGTTCTCACAATAATACATCCAGTTCCTCAAAGGGCACCATGATCAGCCCAAGGAACAACCTGGACACAAAAGTTTACCCTATTTAAAAAATCATTGTGATGGATGCAACACAGGGAATGAAAATCTGTGGCTTGAGAGTGTTTCCAATGTCCTGCCTCACAACAGGAGCCTGTCCCTGGAATGCTCTGACCTTCTGCTTTCACTGACCATCACTGCAGGACTGGAGGATGTTGACACAAAAGAAGTGGAGGTATTAAAGAGCCCACTAAACTCCAGCCACAATACACAGTATTGATTTAAGGGTATTTCTGGGTACTTTTCACAGCAGCACGGAAGGAAACTCTAAAGTATCTGTAAAGCAAAGAGCTTAAAAGGCAGAAAATTCACCTGCTCGTTTTCAGGCTGATAAATGCTATTAAATAACAAAGGGGAGCTATTCATTAAACCATGGCAGGACAGCAGAAGGGAGATTAACTAACACAGTGACCCCCCGAAATTAAAACTTCATGTAAAGCACAGAAGCACCACAGAAAACACATGGAAGAAGTGAACCAAGACACCTTCCAACTCCAACTGCGCCCCTGCTCCAGCTCAGGAGGTGCCAGGAGGGGTGGGAAACAGGACAAGGAGGATGATGGCCTTTAGTTCTCAGCCTTTTGAGCAGCAGATTATTAACTCCTGTCATTCTACAGTTAATGCCTTTTGCTGGTCTATTTTACAAAGGAACCTCAGAACCACTATTTTAAAATTTACCGAGCTTGATGTACGATCTTAAGTCTATTTATCTGTTTTAAGATAACCCAGTAGGAAGGTAAAAATACCTTTTAGGGCTTGAACTGGCTTCCCTGGCTTTGCTCTCTTGCTGAAGTGCCTCTGCCATAAAAAAGTCTTTTTATTTGCAAATAAAGAGCTACGGGTCTGTTTTATACACTCATTAAATCAACCCCCCAGCACAGCAGCAGCACGGAGAGAAGCACCTACTAAAACAAACACGGTGTTTAGTGATTAGTGGGTATCAAGCACTCAGGTCACTGTCAGGACACCTCATTCAACCTCCCCTTCTCCAATTTCCAGAGCAGTCTAACACGCCCTCAACGATTCAATCGAGCCTTAGGTGTCCAAAAACACTTCCCAAAGCAGGCTCCAGCCACAGTCAGTACATTCATTCACCAGCTTTTGGAATGTGTTTTATTTATGCATTTAGAAAGCACGAGACACAGCAAATCACCAGACACTTATAGGTATATAATTGCAGTTACTTGTTTGTGTGCCTACAGAAGCAAAAAAAGGATGATGGAAGACAGGACCAACAAGCACAGACACCACACTATTTTGTTAACAAAATTTTAAAAGGGCAGATGTTTTAGAAAATCCAAAGGAATTCTGCTGGCCCGGTACATTTTCCTTCCCCTAAAGAACTTGCTGCTTCCTGTCCTCCTCAGGTTCTTCCTTGAGCTAAGGAAAGGAGAAAGAGCTTAGATTCCCTATCTCAGATGATCAATGCAAGTTTTAAATACTTGTGACCACCAGCATCAGGTGCTGTTGAAGGTAAGAGATCACCATAACACCCACAGCTGTCAGGCTGCATTCTTGGGAAAATAAAGTGACATTTAGATTTGACCAGATATGACCCCCCAGGCAATGAAGCCAAACAGCACTTCATCAACTCAGCCACTTCTGTGGCCTAGAAAGGCCTCCCACAAATCCTGAAACACTGGGGAGAAACATCTTCACAAGGGATCCTCATCTGAAAATGACATCATGGAAGCACACACAGAAAGAGAGTTTTGTTTGCTGCAGAAATGGTTTGGAAATGCAGCTCTCGGGACCAGGGCAGGGCTCTCGTGTCCAACACATCTCCTGGAAATACTGCTTGTCTCACTTCTCTTACCAGGAATCCCTACTGGAATGTCACAGCTTCCAATATTCCTGGAAACAAGTTCAGTGCGGAGGCAAGAGACTCCAGCCAGATGCTGGCAGTTGTGTCCTTGCTGCTTTTCCCTGCACATCCAGGCTCTCACCGGGGATCCCGAGCTCCAGTAACTGCTGGAGAACCACTGGGAAGGATATCCTGCCAACCTCTATTTATAGCACCTGGGGAGGGAGGGGAAGACTGTAATAGAACAGGCAAAATAAAGCCTTGCCATGGGCATAAACCAGCCAGGCTGGATCAAAACCCCAACTGCCCAGTGCCCTGAATAAGGGCCAACAGCAAAGAGGGAACCTGCAGCTCCAGCTTGGAACAAACAGCCCACAGGATCTGCCACCTCATTGTCTCTGGGCACCTTTAGGTGGGATATCAAATGTTTCAGTGGTACAGATTAACTACTGTCAACCTGAGACACACCATTAAGGGAATAGGATGGATTACTCAACACAAATAAAAGATTACAAAACAGGAAAGTTGGCGCTTTTTTTTCTATTTCCAGCAGCAAGACTGTGCAAAAAAAAAAAAAAATCTCTTTTTCTAACTTTTATAACCAGTAAACTATGCCTCAAGTTTTTGAGATTAAAGGAAAAGAAAAACACATCCCCTAAACCGAAACGTGCCAAGGATTTATAAACCATGGCAGCTGTGTGGGTTTGGTGAGGGGGTTTTGTTTGCTTCTGTTTTGGGGGTGAGATTTTTTCTGTTTGGGTTTTTTTTGGTTTTGGT